TCCCGATTAGGATACTGGGTTATAAAATGAGAAATGCTAATTTGCTATACATTCTTCTATTAAGATGTGAAAAGTCAGCTATGTTCTGGGTTTGAGAGTCCCTCCCCAGACTAAATAGCATCAGCCCAAGCAGAATTGCTTTACTTAAAGTGATACAAACCCCTATCTTTTAAAGGAGACTAGGAAATAAAAATGTAGGCTGCTTTTCTTTAAATGTTAAATATAGTCAAATTATTTGTGTCCTAACATTCAGAATTAATTATGAATGGGAGAATAATCAGGCAACTACATTATAGCTTCACAGTTAAAGAAAAAAGTGGACAAACAGACTTTACAACCCACTTGCAATTACAGACAATGTGGTTATGTATTTTTATGATCACAGCCCTTTCTTTTTAACTTTTGACTCAGATTAATCTGCTTTAATAAATCATGCTTTACTTTACATAGAATTTAAAGGTATATTAATACCATAATATTAAACCCAAACAATCAGATATCCTGGCACAGATCATTGTCTTCTGTAATACTTCTATCCCTAGTGACAAAATTTGGAGCAGTTTTGTCACTGGGCTACATACTCTGTCTGAAGTACTACTGGAAGTGGAGTTTCTTTGTACCACATGGCCCTTGTATCTGGCCACAGACATAGAGTGCTCAAAATAGGGGGAAAGCACAGGTAGTTGAGTCAGAAACATCTCAATTATAAACTCAATTATAAACTAACCAGTTTCTTAGTAGTCATTTTACCCTTTGGCAAAGTACACATAGCCTGACAATCAGGTTCCCCCTCTCAGAAGCTTGTTCTGTGATTGGTTTTGATTGTATTAGCCAACCAAATGGTGGAAATACATGGAAAATGCTTAGCACAGAGTGGACATTCAAGAAATAGCTGTTATATATGATCACACATTTACACATAGGATGCATTTTTGTAATACTTGTAGTTAATTATTTAAAGCATTTCACTACCACAGCATACATTCTTCACCATCTCAACCCTTGTTGAGAACATAGTGGATGAAGAGCCCAGGATTTTCCATATTTAAGATTGTTACAAACATCTAGCTGGGCAAGGTTTAGGTATGCGTGTTTCTCTCTCTCTCTCTCTCTCTCTCTCTCACACACACACACACACACACACACACACATGGGTATGTGTCTGAAGGCTCATTAATTTGGAATGTTATCGGATTGGCTGCCTTTTTATGTAAATGTTTTTTCTGAGAAACCTCTGGAAATCTTAGAGCCCTTTTACCTTGTTAGTGTTCCTTCTCTTTCACTCTTGTTATCTAGTGAGGTTGTAGCTTCTTCTCTCCTATACTTTATCCCATGGCCATGCCCCCAGGGAAGGGACTCAAAATCTCAGGCATTAACTACCACGCTGCTTCCTTCACATTTTTTCTCCTCTGTCTCCAGTTTAACTACAGGCTGCCACTGATTTCACTGTGTTATTCCTTTATTTAAGAAATTCCAATGGCTTTCCATTAACCACATGAAAACAAAAGTGCAAACTTCTCTGCCTAGTGATCTGGCTCCAACCCCTCTGCAGTCTTACCTCCCCCGAGCTCCCAGCAGGCCTCCACTGGGCGCGCTCTGTTTCTCCCCAATTTTCCCCTTTCAGCCTTGCTCATGCTGTGGTTCCCCTTGGGTTACCTTGTTCCCTTTCCTTGGCCCATCCAAATCCTTCAACAGCTGGCCAGCTTAGATAATTGCCCTAACAGGAAGTAAACTCAAGGTCTTCACAATACTGCACACACTGATCTCCCATTTTACAATTATTTCAGCTTTTTGTGACTTTTACATATTGTTTGGCTTAGCTTTGCATACCCTTAGGCAGGGATCATTTTTTTTTTCAACCTGGTCTTTTATTTTCTGAATTCATCTAGAACAAAGCTAAACAAGTGTAACACAAGTTCAATAATTGCTGGTTACATTTTGGTCCACAGACTCCATCAGACCATGTATAATGGGATACAATTGAAATAAACCTCTCATTCTCTAGAGACTTCCCATCACATCCCCTCCAGCTACCTTAAGCTAGCCCTCTGCCCCTCACCTTCACCTACTGACACTTGACAAACTGGCTGACCTGCCCTTTGGGCAAACTTCCCTACAAAATCCTAAGATTTCTGCTACTGCTTCCTTTCACCTCACTGATCTAAGTAAAATCTAGCTTTCTTGAGTCCACTTCATTCCTGGGTACTGTCCCCTGGAGAACCTTCCTTTTCCTGGTCATCAGATTAAATGTTGATGCAGCCTGTCAAACTCATCCTCACTTGCCACTGCTATTTCTGCCCCTCTGAGCATTATTTTCTCCTCCTCCATCACCACTGGTTTCTAACATCAGCAGCTAATTTATAATGTTCCCCTCAGTAATATTTAATATTCACAATGTCAGCCCTTCACGCCCATGCACTACTTCCAAATCTCTTCTCTTCTGTGGATTTGTGTCCCCTCTCCACAGCAGCATGGCGAACCCCCCAACACTGAGAAGCCGTCTGAGGGCTCTATTTTCAGTCTCCAACTAGAACCACTTTAACTGCTGTTTCTTTCAATTCCCCCACCACAACTGGTTTCTGCCTCATGCACTTAATCCATACCTTTCACAAGTCCACTTCAAATGTTGCTCTGCAAACTAGATTTGAGCCAATGTAGTTAAAAAGATTCCTGAGCCTTCCCCATGGGAGCTTCTAATTCAGTACACAGACTGTTAATTTTCAATCTTAGCTATACCCAGGGAACTAAAACCAAACCAAACCAAAACAAAAAAACAAAAACAAACAAAACAACCAGCCCAAGCTTCATTTAACTGACCTGCATCTGAAGCTATAGAACCATGTCTTTAGAAGTTCTCCAGACAATTCTACTGTGCATCAAAGGTCGAAACTGTACTCTATACTTAGATACAGAAATAAGAGCTTCAGCATGCAACCAAAGTTAGTCAGGGGTCAGTCAGGTTTGATTTCATTGTGTTACACACCTCCTGTCTAGAAAGGACTTCCTTCATACTTGAGTGATTTTATATCACTTTGGAGTGCTCTTTCTAGCGCTCTTGCTCCTCCCCCTGTATCTTTCTTTAACCTCTAGGATATAGTCCAGACCCTTTCACTTGAAAGAGGGTCATCACAGTCTGGCCACCTATTTAATCCAGAGCTGTCTGAATTGTTTCAACACTCTCAGAAATGTGTTACGATGATTTTTTTGTAAGTCACTGTTATGAGGCCACTTGAAATGAGTCATACACTCAGATTAGACAGGCAGAAAGAGCTCTTAACTTGGGACAAAAAAGGAAGAATCATTAAAATGTCTCAAAGAAAAAGTTATTGATGGCAATTAGGTTACTAAGCAAACCTTCAGGTGCTAGTTAATCCAACAGGTGGCTGGAAAACAATGAAACAGGCCATCAGCTCTTTGCGCGCCTTCCTGTCAATGCCCAGACCCTCCCTATTGGCTAGCTCTCCTGGCTTTCTTGCCCTTTGAGGGGACCAAGCACACACTGTCTTGATTTTAGTTTTTCACTGACAAAAACACAGATATTTTGCCATAAGTTTTGTCATAAGTGATATATTTTTAGAAGTCATTAAAAACAACAGTACTGACACCTTAAAGGGACCAGAAATTGCCTTCAGGATCTCAAGTTTTTCTATTCATCCTCACCCCCTTCTATTCCATCCTGTATCTTTAAAAAAAAAAAAAAAAATCTTGAACTCCGTAACTCATCAGTATAAGCTCTGAGCAGCTAGGCTACCAGCAGCAGGAACTAAATCTACAAGTCGTTGGGTGACCAGTTCCTTCCAAGCATTTCCTAAGGTAATCACTAACCACAGCTCCAATTTACCCATCAACTACAGCTATATACTTTTAAACGGGAGTCATTGCTGTCCACAATTTGCTACACTGATTTAACCTAAAGGGCTTGTTTTAACAATTTCCAATTATCATAGCTCTTAGCATTTTTGGAAAAATCTACTGAATCCAAACATTATTCCAAAACTAATACTTTAAGGAAGAGTGTGCTATTTCGGTAACCTCTTAGTCATTTAAGAGGGAGGTTTTAAGAAATGAATTCCAAGTAGGAATAAAGAAAATGCATAATCACTAAACTTTTACTATTTTGTCACGCATTGCTGCATGACAAGACATGATCTTTAAATACATCAAAGCAAAGTTTCAGAAAGTATTAAATATTATGTCAAATAAAACTCTCAAAATCAGAGAATTTTTTTAAATTGTGCTTCAAAGCAATCAGTCACAATCACCAGGAAAAATGGGGGGGGGGGGAGCTGTCCCATGACATCATCTGGCAATAAAGGGAGTTTGGAGCCCGAGACGCTCTCCAAGTAACCATTTCGGAAATCCAGCAGGGAAGGCATCCCTGTCAAGCTCAGATAACTTGAGTTTAAATTTAAAAAGGTTCAAAAAAGCTTCCCCCCCCACCCATTAAGTCACATGTCTGCACCACAGGAGAAATAAAATCATCTCCGAAGCATCCACCTCCCACTCCCCTGACAGCAACGGAAAGGTCACAATTAAGTGGAAACTCGCTGCGGCGCCCGTTCTAGCCCAAGGGGGAAAGGGGGCGCAGCGAAGGGAGGACTCTCCGCGCCTCCGAGACGATCTCCTCCGCGGAGAACCCGTTCCCGCCCGCCCGACCCCCGCGTTCGGCCAACAGACCACCCGACTCCAAGAGGCAGGTCAGCCCCGGCCAGGGACTGGGGGTCCACCCGACCCTCCTTGGAAAACAGCACAAAGCATCGAGCGGAACGGGCCACCCCCAGCCTTCCCCGAGCGCGGAAGGCGCAGCTCGCCACGGGTTCGGGGCTGTCCACGAGGCACAACTCTTCTATCTCAGCCCAAGGCACGGCGGCCCCGGCGCATCTCCCCCGGCCGCCCAGAGTCCCGGGAGGCGACGCGGGCCTCTGGGCTCCCCCGGCCGAGCCGCCCAGCCTCCCGACGCCCGCCGTCGGGGCGCCCCTCGGCCCCCGCCCAGCACCTACCGCAGCCGCGCCAGCCCCGGCGGACACGATGGGCGGCAGCTTCTCGCGCTCCGGTTCTTTTCCTTTTTTTTCCTCCGGCGCGGCCGCCGCCACTGCCGGCTGAGCGGCGGGCGACGGCACCCGACCCGTTTCACTCATGTCGGGCCGGGCAGCAGGAGCGTGAAGCGGCAGCGGCGGCGGCGGCAGCGGCAGCGGCCGGGCTGGGGCTGAGGCTGGCGCTGCTGCCGCCGCGGCCGCGAGAGGGCTCTGGGCCGCCGCTGGCAACCGCCGCCGCCGCCGCCGCCGCTCCGCCCCCACCCGCGCTCGCGCTGACGCGCGGGCGAGTCTGAGGCCGCGCGCCCGGCCCGGCCCTCCCGCCGCCCCCGCACGCGCCAGGCTCGCGGACTCGGTCCACCCCCGCGTCGCTCCCGCCTGTTTCTAGCGTCAGCCTCCCCCGCCTGGCCCGGGGCTCCTCCGTCGGGGGGCAGGGACGCCCGCCATAGTCACTGTCGTCGACCCCAGAGCCCGGAGGGGAGGCCCCGCGGTGGACGCCTAGCAGCCATGTTGTTTGCCGGCTGTCGTCCGAGATGACGAGCCGGTTACCCCGCGCTTAGGCGCGCACTCAGGGTCGGGCTGAGCGCCCGAGCTGCAGCTGGGGCGGGGCGCAGCCTACCCTGCGAGGTTTGCCCTGGCCTGAGGCGCCTGGACCAGTGGGCGCTGGTCCGCTTGCGCCCCCTACCCCGTCCCCCCAGCGTCCCCAAAGCCATCTGCCCTGGGCCCGCTGCTTGCGGCTCCTAGCCCTGCTCGTCCTCGAGCCTGTGCCTCCCGAGGGAACAGTCTTTCCACGCTTAGTGCGCGACCCCTTGCACACGCTCTGACGGCTGAGGAGGGGCCCGTTGTGGGCCGCCCTCCCCGTTAGGGCTGGGCGGCCAGGCCACATTTTCCATTTCTGGGCCTCTCGTCCCCCTTTTGACTGCCAAAATCCGCCTCTCCCTTCCCGTCCCCGCTCGCCTACACTTCGCTCGCTCCCCGCTCGCATCCCTTTGCTGCCGCCTATCCCTTCCTTTTTCCGTTCCGTTTATAAGTTACAGATGGACATGCCCAAACTCAGCTGCATAATCCGTCATAGCAAATCATTGTAAAAATGTGGGCAAGAACCTTAAATCTGAAGACGGGAGGGAGCCTTTCACCGAGCTCTTAAAGTGCCCCCACCCCCACCCCCACCCCCACCCCCAGCACACGTAGACAATTTCCTTTCCTTTCTCCTCGCCCCCTGCTTTTCCTTTTCTCTGTCTGCTGGAGCGGCAGAGACACCTGCTGATCTCAGAGAAGGGAGAGAGTGAGAAGGCGTTGTGTTGCCTTTAGAACAGGGAGTCTCTCGACAAGCGGGCCTTCAGATTTTTAGATTGTGGCTTCATTATTTTATTCGAGCTGGATTTTCGGATCAGGGGACACCAGATTCGAATATAAGTGACACAATTAAATATGAAACAAAACCAAAGGCGATTTTGGGGTTACCTATTGTTTTATATAATGCGGTGTCGTTAGTGGAACTAAATACTAATGACGGTTCATATTGAGGTGAAGTTGCATTTTTTTTTTCAAATCCTGAATCTGTAACAAACCGATCTGAAACATGCAATGTAACGAATACAGTAATTGATATTCGAAATTGCCTTCTGGGTGATAAACTCTCACTTTCATTTATAGAAAGTCTTCCTAGTTTTAATATAGTTGCTGCCACCACCTGTTTACTTATTAATTCACAAAAGGTATGAAGTAAGTGTCACATACTCCAGCAGAAAATATTTCAGTGCTAATTAGCCTCGGAGCGGGGTGATGTCTCCAGGCACTACTTAGAAGCATCTTCCTCTTTTCTATGTCTCTTAAATTCTTTTTCAGGATTTTCTTTCCTACTTAAACTTCTGAAATACTCATCCCAAGGAAAGGAACATCCCATTATTTTCTACTCGTAGCGGGTCAGCATGCTGATGTCCTTAATACAGCAACAATCAAATGTTACTTTATAAAATGAAGCCTTTATTTTAACAGCAATGATTCTGTACTGCCGAGTCTAGATTGATAGAACAAGTACTAGAAGGGAAAGTACCCCTTTCTCTATTGTTTTTGACTAGATTTAGTGATTTCTATAAAAATGCTTGGATCAGAAACCACTTGGATCACATGCCTTATGCTTTCTTTTTGCATGTGTCAGACTAAATAAAAGTGTGTCTGTACATGTAGTCATATTCAGCAGAACAGAATGCTTAAATATTGGCAAAACAAGGCAAGTCAGAAATTTTAATTTCTGCTACTGCACCAGAGTAGATAATAACCCATTTCTAAACAAGTCTGCTGATTGATTGACCTGTTGGTTCTATAGCACAAATAATAAGTAATTCGTTGATGTAAGGTTGTACTTCCTGTTAATGACACTGCTCTCAATTCATCACCCCTTTCTCCTTCAGAGGCACTCCGGGATGGGGGTCAGAGGGTGGAGTGGAGGCTGCTAGAAAACAAACGACTCTGGGGGAGCTTGTGAGCTTGAGAAATGGGTTCCCACTGTTACCGAGTGCTTCTGGGGGCCCAGGTGGGAGAAGAGGGTGTTTTGAAGCAGGCGTTACAGCTAGCTCTGGCCATACTGCACAAAGGTGTGGAAAAGAGGCTTTTCAGCTGTGCCAAGTGTCCGTGGGAAATGCAGCAGTGATCACGTCCAAGTACCAGCTCTAATGAAGGAAAGGAGTGGGGCAGGAGAAAAATTGTGCTTTCCTAAGTATCAGTGGAAAACCTGGGCTCATTAGTTATTCCTCTGAGGAGTAAGATTTTGCGAGTGGGAGTGGGGGTTATTGTTATTGTTATTTCCAGGGAAGAATAGGTAAGACTAAATTACAGGGTGATGGAAGTTCTAAATTATAGATAACTTCTGTTTAATTACAGGAATATTAATGCAGTGAACAATAGCAAACTAGGTTCTGACAGGTCAGTGCAGAATGGTTGATAACTAATGCCATAATTGTGGAGGCACAGCTATGAAATAGTGCAGCTTATTTTTTGAAGAACACTTCTTTTTCACATTGTAACTGAGTTGTCCTAAAGTGGTAAACTTGGTGGAAATTACTTATTTTAGCCACATTGACATTGTTGAGAACATTGTTAGAACTCTTCCTTGGGTGCAAGGATTATGGTTTTTAAAGACTTCCATTTAGAAAAATAACCTCCATTTAAGAAATGTGTAGTCATGACCAAAAAAAAAAAAAAAAAAAGCACAGATCAGCAGAATGAAGGCAGTAAACAACACTGGATCCTACGGACTTCAGGTGTTCTCTAAGACCTTGATTTGCCTCTTTACAAAGTGTTCCATAAAACTATTTATCTGTATGCCTGCATATATAGTGTTTCTTATTTTGCTTTTGTAAAAGTAGGATGTACTAAAATACTGTTCTGAATCTGCTAACTCATTCTAGATTAGAATACCTTCAGGGATGTGATAAATCTTTAGAGAATGACCGTTTGAATTATGCAATGTTATATAGAGCCAAGACTGAAGAATAGAGTGAATGATCCTCAAGCTTTTCGTTTCTAATCAGACATCTCTTGGGTCTGTTCTCTGGATTTTCATTGGCCTGGTCAAAGCCCTCAGCATTTCTAACCCAGATTGTTTCTGAAGTCCACCAGTGGGTTTTGCCTTCAGTTTCTTACCTGTTTTAATTGTTACCAGAATGGCTTCTTCAAACTACATAATTTCTTGCCATTTTTTTTTGTTTAAAAACACTGCAATAGTCTGTCAATGCTTTTATGCTAAAATTGTGTAGGCCCTCTAATAGGGCATTCACCTGAATTATTGGCAAAAAGGCATTTTCATAATGTCTCAATTAGAAACCTTTCTTTCAGCTCCCAGAGCTCATAGTGCATATTTACCTTTATATGCCTATTACATCACATCTGAGTTATCTGTTCCCCTAATAAGTCATGGCATAAAGTAGAAGCACCGTAATTACTCCTTGAATCCCCATGTATAGCACAACTCGGATAGTGTGTCCCTCAGGGTATCAAGAGTGTGCTGTTAAGGAAGCCCTATGTTAAGAGTTAATGAAACATTTTTAAAATCAAGATTTATTTTATGTATTTGAGAGGCTGAGTTACAGAGAAAGATAGCGGAAGAGAGAGAGAAAACACACACACACACACACACACACAGAGAGAGAGAGAAAGGATAGATACTTTCCATCTCCTGTTTCACTCCCCAAATGGCCACACAATGGCCTGGGCTGGGCAAGGCCAAAGCCAGGAGCCTGGAACTGCATCCAGATATCCACAAGGGTGGTAGCGACACAAGTAACTGGGCCATCTTCCACTGCTTTCCCAGGCATTTTAGCAGGGAGCTGGATCAGGAGTGATGCAGCCTGGATGTGAAGATGTTTCCTTAATGTGGCTTGTAAAGCAGTCCTGGAATCATTTCCAAGATGAATTATAAAAATGCTCCAAGTATTGGACTGAACTTGTTCAGATGAGTTGGTACTGGTATTGGTCCTTAAAAATCTTCATCTTCTAGAGCAGTGCTGTTAATAGAACTTTTTGTAATGGTGGAAATGTTCTACACCTGTACTGTCTAATAGAATAACCACTGATCATATGTGGCTTTTAAGCACTTAACTTTATACTTTGATTTAATTTATATTGGTCTAGCCACATACTGTACAACATGGCTCTATAGTTCACCTCAGCTATAACAGATCAAATCTAAATGAATGGCTCCACTGATGATCCACACTGAATCCTAACCTCATTCTTAAGAGTATATGCAAGGCCAGCGCCGCGGCTCAACAGACTAATCCTCTGCCTAGCGGCCCCGGCACCCTGGGTTCTAGTCCCAGTCGGGGCACCGGATTCTGTCCCGGTTGCCCCTCTTCCAGGCCAGCTCTGTGCTATGGCCCAGGAGTGCAGTGGAGGATGGCTCAAGTGCTTGGGCCCTGCACCCCATGGGAGACCAGGAGTAGCACCTGGCTCCTGCCATTGGATCAGCGCGGTGCGTCGGTCGCAGCGCGCTGGCTGCGGCGGCCATTGGAGGGTGAACCAACGGCAAAGGAAGACCTTTCTCTCTGTCTCTCTCTCTCACTGTCCACTCTGCCTGTCAAAAAAAAAAAAAAAAAAAAAAAAAAAAAAGAATATATGCAAGCAAACCTGTACTAAAATAATAAAATAACCAGGGCAGGTCTAAAGGGGCTCTGATAGCAAGCTTAAAAAGCAAAATAATTCTTCCTTTGTAAAATTGTGTTTCTTTTTTTATATTGTTTTCACAGGAGTTTGCA